TTGCTCCAGTAGGGGATATCTTTAAACATGTCCAGTCCCAGAACAGTATGTTTCAAACAAAATGGATGAGTCGGGGTAGTATATATTCAGATAGAGTAGGAATGGGGGAAAAAATACAGCAGAGCCACCATGGGTTGCACAGGTATGAGAAAACAGAGCCTGGCCTAGCCCACTGAGAATGTGTAAGTAGGTCAAGATGTATTCAACAGAGAAAAATAGTAACAGTGAGAGTTCCAAGTTGACAGCTGCGTTCTCAGGTAATGATTCCCACAGAGGTCAATGCTATGATTTCACAACTGTCATCAGTGATGAATTTCCCAATGTAGTTACCCCACAGTGCTTATATCCAAGAGAACCTCAGCACTCACCACTTGAACTGTCACAAATGCACTGTGGCCAGTGGGTGCTGAAGTGAAATGTACTTTTTGCTTTGCTCATTAACTGAGATACCTCTCCCTAAAACGTTAAAGACAGTGAGAACCCCATAAAGCTCGAACAAGCCAGAACACAAGACATCACTTATTGTTTTGTGTCTTTTCACTTCCCAAGGGAAAAAACATACCAGTGATTGGGTAAACTGTAAGGTATATCTATCTATAGTGCTCGATGCACCTTTTCTGTTACCAGCTACCTAGTATCTGCTACTGAAATATGACCCAGAAAGTTGAAAATAAAATTGCCACGCACATCTGCAGTCCCAGCAACTCTGGAGGCTGAGGCAGGATGATGGCAAGTTCAAGGCCAACCTCGGAAACTTAGTGAAATTCAAGCAATTTAGTGAGACCTGGCCTCAAAATATAAAGTAATAAAGAGTTAGGGATGTAACTCAGTGGTAGAGTGGCCCAAGATTCAGTCCCCAGTAACATGAGGGAGAGAGAGAGAGAGAGAGAATAATTACAATTTATCCCTTTGTAGAAAAGGTTTGCTGACTCCTGTTCTGCTACATGTTCCAAAATTTTTTGGTTTCCTCACCCATTTATCATCCCTCAAAAGCTATTTCTTATTGCCCATATCCATTAATAAGTCTATAATACTTATGAGAACAGAGGAGTTGTCTATATCAGTAGCCATTTACCCACATTTGTTGAATAAATGAATGACTTCATTTTTGTAAATGGAAATTACTCTGAAGACACCAAAATCTTCTTACATATATTTAAAAAAAAAAAAAAAAACCACCCAACTCAAGATGTAGGAAATAACCCAATTAAGATGTGCAAGTTTTACATTTTTATGTATGAGTTAAAAAATAAATTCAAGCCAGCTTTGACAGTGTACACCTGTAATCCCAGTTCTCTGGGAGGCTGAAGCAGGAGGATCACATTTGAGGCCAGCACAGGCAACATAACGGAATACCTGTACCAAAAGCAAATCAAAAAAAAAGGCTGGGGAATGTAGCTCAGTGGTAGAGAGCACTCGCCAGCATCTGCAAGGCCCTGAGTTCAATCCCCAGTACCACAAAAATTAAAAAAAAAAAAATTTAAAAATTCAATGAATTAAAAAAGAAGTAGGAAATAGCTTACCAAAAATAGGTATGTACTGACCGGAAAGGAAACTTAGTTACATTCTCACTTGTGAATTTATGTTCACATAATGTATCAGTCATCCTATTAGACTTACCTTTCCCCTTCCTTTCTTAGTAGGAAGATGATGAAAGATCTGGGTGGCAGACAGCAACCACCAGCACCCAGGAACACAGGCTGCAAAGAGGTTGAGAGGAAAAGAGAAGCGGAGGCTGGGAAGGTGCTTATATTAGGGAATTTTTAAAAATGACTTAGCAAATCAGTAAGAATAACAAAAATAACAACAGCCAGTTTTTTACTTTTTTGAGAAGATTTGACAAATATGGAATTATAGAAAGAATCCAAAGTATTGAATTGTCATTGCTGCATTCATGAGAAGTCATGAGCCTTAATCTACATAGAAAGCTATAAAAGTAGATATGGACAACTCTCAGGGTGCTGCAGGAACAGCTGCCTGCCACCCACTGCTCCTCTCACTCCTCCTATGAGATCCATATGCATCTGCACACAGAGGCAGTTGTTGTTGTTGTTTCTCTTGAACAAAAATAGAGATTCATGAGCATGCACATGCATGTGTGTATGTACATATATATATTCCCTAGCCATGTTCATTGAGAAGGCCTGGGGACAATGATGTGTAATAGCAATGAACACTCTAAAACACCCAGATGTTGGTTTGCAATAAACATCCTCCACAAGAATAAACATCAGCTGACTCCAGTACTAGCAGGATAACCACACAGTGAGTCAGAAACTTCTTTATTTGAAGTAAATGGGGTACTAAGAATTGAACCCAGCGTCTTGTACATGCTAGACAAGCATGCTACCACAAAACTACATCCCCAACCCTTTTTAGACAGCTAAGTTGCCAAGCTGGCCCCAAACTTGTGATCCTCCTGCCTCTGTCTCCTAAGTGACTGGGATTACAGACCAGCATCAAAATGCCCATTAGAATCTGAAACTTCTAAACTGTGCCAAGGAAGTCCTCAAACAATTAGGAAATGAGTTAAAAGAATGAGAGACAAAAAGAACTCATTTTGAAAGGTGTTCCACTGACCAAATAAGGAATACTAGAAGTATCAACATGTATAACAATAACTACTGAATACTACTGAAAGAAATAGAAATCCATGAGTCAATACAGTAAATGAAAGAAGAGACCATGAATAAAGCTATTTCCTAGAATGCAAACTATTAGAAGATAAAATGGAAAATCACCCTTTGGCATCTATCACAGTGGCTGCTGATCAAACAGGAGTTATCAGTGGAGCTGATGCTTGTATGTTTAACGAATAAAAAGATGCTGAATAATGTCAAAGCATCTACCCTCATAATAATCAGGCACAAAGAGGAAAACGGTAGCATTATGGTGAAGTTTGGCAGACAGAAACGCAACAAGGTGATCAATTTAACATCACCTGGAATGGGTTACAGCTAGAAAGTAGCAGGCTGGATGAGTCTGAAGAGGCATGATAAGGTGGTCAGTCACATATATGAGGAGCACAGGGACAGGCAGCCTTCAGGATCTTGCCTGCCTTCTTTCTGAAGCTACATGTCCCCTCTCGGCTGCTGCCAAACTAAGTGATAAACACAAGTGAGAGACCAACTTTTTGGAAAGTAATGCTGAAGGAGGAGCTAGGGATAAAAGAGCATCATGTGGGCAGCCTGCTCTCAAATGATTCCCCAAAACCAGTTATGACAATGTATACAAAAAAGACACAGTAATAGGAGCAAACATAGTACAGTATGGATAGTCAAGGACTCTGGTAAAAGGGTTATGTGCATGCAGGTTCATGTTCAAAATTATTTCAATTTTTAATTATTAATTTTTAAGTTTCCCAAAGAATATAATGAATCTCCTTTATGAATATAGAATATCAACATCTGCTGAAATTAATATTTTTTTCCATAGATTTTCAGCACTGGTGAGAGAAAGCTCAAGTGCTCATTATGGAAATAAACGGCACATAAGATAAAGGATTTTCATAAAATAAGAAAATCTTTGGAATTCTCATGAACAAAATTTTGTTTATTTTCTTCTTACAAAAGGAAGGGGGAAAAAACTAAATAAAATCAAGATTCTTCACAGTTTGGGAAATAAAGTTACCATTTTGAGTTCAGATGATGCTATCAAATATTAATAAAAAAAAGATAATGAGAGCAACACTTCTCCCATCCCAAAGTCTCAGGCATAACTAAATCATAAATATAAGTAGCATGCATATCAATCCTTATTGTTCTTTTAACTATAAAAATTCAAAGAATCATAATATTTGATTGCACTTTTATGAGCCTAGGAAAACATAAGACAATGACCTTCTCTTTCACACTATTCAGTCAGAAATACACACATTGAGAAGCCTTGAGCAGAAGAGACATTTAATGTAGTGAGTTACTAGTCCACTAGCTTGAGAAGATATGCAAAGTTAATGCACCCTCGCACAGGATGCACTTTACATCTATTCAAACCTGCACATATTCCAATTCTACCTCTTTTAGCGCAAAATCTGAAGGGACCAATATGTACTTGATTATGTTTCACAAAATGTGTGTCAACTTCTCAAGACAATTCTAGTGAGTCATGAAGTAAAAGATGATAGCTTTGCATCTACCATTCTTCTCCTTATTCTGGTCAGGATTTCAAACCAATACAAGAAAGAGATAAGAAGGCACAACAGCAGATTGCAGCATGGAGAGTTCCAGTTCTGCACGGTGCTCTTGGCCTCAGCCCAGTCAATTCAGATCTTGATCATTTCTCTTTCACCCACGTACAAACATATGTACCCAACTTGTCATTTCCTTGTCCTCTGAAGGAAGTTGGAGGCAACTAACATGAAAGACTGCAGTGATATAGCATATAAGACACCAAGATTGAAAACACATCTGACTTTATATGGATCCACAACCACACTGGGTCAAATAACCCTTTTATAACTACTTCCCCAACTCCTTTCCTTGGAGAGTCAGAAAAAAAGTTACTTGCTTGTTCTATCAGTAATAATTTACCAAAAGAAAGAAAGAAAAAAAAAAAAAACACGACACATAGGGCATGCTGTCTGGGCAAACCCAAATTCACTTCCTGTCCCCACAGGGGAAAAATATAAGCTCTATTCTCTAGAAAAGAAAAACACATAAAGACTAACATTTGCAAACTCACAGAGAAACCTGATAGTGGATTCTATAGACATGATCCTTCTCTCCACACTTAAAAAACTAAATGACACAAAAACTGCTCAATCTCTCAAAACATGATACAACCATTTTTACAAATTCCATCAGTTCCTTTCAAAGTTAAACATATACTTAATAAGTGATTTAATCATTTCAGTCCTAGTTTAGTCAAAAGGAATGAAAGCATGTATCAACATGTACAAAGACTTGAATGCAAAGGCTCACAGTAGCTTACTGGTAATAGGCAAACCTGTGAAGTTCATTGTAGGCCAATAAAATGGTCTTTTAAAAATTTCAAGCACATACTTGACATTGGATAGTATTTCTTTCTCAACTGTTTTCCGACCAAGGAGAAAGCCACTCTTCACTTTTACTCGATAGCAGATGTTATGAAAACTCAACACAGGCCCTTCAGAAAATGTCTGCATGTCACTGGAGGTCATCCAAGGCAGGTCACTGGGTTTCCTTTGTAACATTGAGATCCAAATCTGGTCATTACTGGAAGTCATCTGGAAAGTTTCTGATTTTCTGTAGAGAAAAATGCAGTAGTAAGTTGACTGTCCACATAAAGGAGATGGTAAATATTAGATAACAAAACAATTAAAAATCAATGGATGTGTAACTGATGTGATTCTGCAATCTGTGTATGGGGTGAAGGTGGGAGTTCATAACCCACTTGAATCAAAGTGTGGAATATGATATGTCAAGAAATTTGTAATGTTTTGAACAACCCACAATAAAAAATTAAAAAAAAAAAAAAAAAAAAATTAAGTTAACAATCAAAACAAGCTGTTTTAAAACTGTGCTCCAGTGAGTAGATTCCTTTTCAATGAATGGCCCATGACACTGTGATAAGAACAACCTTAGAACCTACAATGAGGGAAGACACACTTCGTACAGCTAGCTGCACTCCAATTCAATGTTAAATAAATTCCTAATAAGTAAAGGGTTAGTAGTATGAAAATTACTCAATATTTATAAAGCAGGAAAAACACAGGTAAAGGTGGAAATGCATACCATAATGCAACCAAAGGTCAGAGACATGATCGTTTGCATATCCCCCCCTTTTTTTCTTTAATTTTTAGAGATTATTATACTGTTTTGACCAAAAGGGGTTTAGCCAACCAGTCAGGGACAGGAAAAACTTCTCTTAATTAAAGTCCCAGACTTTACATCTCTGGTTGCTATACATAATTAGCTAAGAAGCTATTATGATTTGGGTAGTAAATGTCCCCAAAGGCCATGAACTAAGGCTGTGCTTCGGAGGATATATCTTATCACTGGTCCCTCCCTTACTTTCTCTCCCTGCTTCTGGTTTGCCTTGGGGTGAACAGATTTTCTCCTCCATTCCCTTCTACCATGATGTTTCTACCTTACAACAGGCCTAAAAGCAATGGAGCCAGCTGGCCATGAGCCAAAATAAACCTTTCCTTCTTTAAGTTGATTTTCTCAGCCTTTTATCACAGCAATGGAAAGCTGACTAACACAGAAGGTAGACCCCAAAATTGTTTGCAATGACTTAATCATTTCCTTAGTTGGCAAACATATTTAAATTCTAAGAAGCCATAAGAATGAAAATAATTAAAGCAAATTATACTAGTACTTAAGCAACTCAAGATTTTAAAGCAAAAACTGAATACTAAGTTTACAAATGAAGCTTAAAATGTTTTATTAAACAACTTATAAAAGGCCCCTGAAAAAGATTTACATTATGTTGAACTGAGCTTGCAAAATAGGTTTGAAATGCTAACTGCAATAAACCTAGTTTTCCTATTTAAGAGCCAAAAGCATCCATTAAGAACTTTCTCTCTGCCTATGGTGAACTAGCTGCTCCAAACTAGTCATCCTCCTGGGAACAAACATAAAAATGGACAAAATATAAGAAGTGGCTATGTGAAGAGTTTTCTAATGAGAGCAAACAAACCAACCAGGACTTGAGAAACCAAAGTCCTAGCAAGGAGAGAACAGCACTAGGCAGTCCCAGCACCCTATAACCTTCCCTCTTGTAAGGATGGCCTTAGGCCTTAGCCTAAGCAACTCCATTTTAAAACTCCACTTTGAAACCTATAGCCTCACCAGGAACACCTACAGAGCCTTCCAAAAGGGTCATCAGGCACAGCCCTGACATAAACAAGTCACTTCTCCCCACCTTGACAAACTCAGAGTGTTACCCTCATCCCAATAAGGGTGAGAGGCAAAAAATCAGGGTGGAGACCACCAGACCAGATGATTTAACCTCAGGGCGGATGACGTCACTGAGAAATCCAGTAGCTAACGTAGTCAGAAGCCCCCAAATTTTACTATAAATAATGGGGCAAATGAATAACATTCAGTCAGCCGACAATGATGCCCTCACGCTGGAGAGCCTGATGAGGACCTGGACTGACATCCCAACTCTTCTCATCATTTGCCGGATCCTCTGCATCTTCCTCACTGCTCTCAAATGGAATAGAAACTGTTCTCACTGTGACACACCCTTTGGTTCTAGTTTCTTTCTTTTTTTTTTTAATATTTTGGTTTTTAGTTGTACTTGGACAAATACTTTTTTTAATTGATTTTTTAAAAAATAATTAAATGACAATGGAATGCATTACAATTCTTCTTACACATATATACCACAATTTTTCATATCTCTGTATATAAAGTATGTTGACACCCAATTTGTGTCTTCATACATGTAGTTTGGATAATAATGTCCATCACATTCCACCATCCTTGCTAATCTCCTGCCCCCTCTATTCCTCCCATGCTCCCCATCCTTACCCCACTATGAGTAAGCCACCTTATATCAGAGAAAACATTCAGCATTTGGTTTTTGGGGGGATTCTACAGCTACATCTTGACCCGGGTGAGAAATGCAGTATCTCTGTATGACCCTCTCCTCAATCAGCTGTCAGGTCCACCCCAGGAAACCTGCCTCAGTTCCTGACCTGATCACCATTGTCTGAGCGAGTGTGCATTTGCTGGACTTAGTTCTGGCACTTGAGCTTAACATGCAGAGGGAATGTCTTTCATGAGCCTGTCATGATTAAGAGTGCTTGCAGTGTTTAGAATTAATCTAGAATTGTTTGCTGTGAATTGGTTATGTCTATTGCAGTGTCTAACATTAAGGATTGTCATTTTTTTTTATTAAGAACCTCTAGAGTGAAATTGTATTGAGGATTTGAGTGAATATAGCATTGAAAAGGGCAGAAGCACATGGACATTCTTTATTTCTTCCGCTGGACTGCATAAGTCACACCTTTGCTGATAGTGACACCTCTCCAGGTATGGGCATGTGCAGACTACACACTCATGGGACAACACTCAGGACAACCAGGCAGAGAAACTGCTAGAGGCATCTTCCTAAAGCCCCTAATATATCTGAGCAAATATCTCAGCTGAGAGATACAATTGGAGTTTTGTGTCAGAAAACATAAGGAGCCCTGGAAACCCCAGATTCTGAGATATCAGAAGTGTTATAGCCTGTGAATATGGACAAACTAAAAAGAAACCAGCCTTGGCTCAATCAATGTGCTCTGCTCAGACTTTGCTAGAAGAAAGTTAAATCCACTCTCAATTATTTTTTCAATTTAAAAAAAAAAACATAACAAGTATGCCCAAAAACAGAACTTAAAATTCCCAAAACAAGAACATAGATGCAGACCACAGATAATCCAAACTGGATTAAAACCACTGATTAATATGTTCAAGAATATAATGAAAAATTAGATTATCACAGAAGAACCAGTCTCTTTAAAAAAAATCAAAACTAAGAATTTAAGCTATGGACAAGGGGGCCCCTACAGTCCCAGCTAAACCAGAGGTTCAGGCACTATGACTGAGTTCCAGGCTAGCCTGGGTAGTCTGGGCAACATGGCCAGACCCTGTCACTTATAAGAAAAATAAGGGGACTGGGATTATAGCTCAGTGGTCAAACACAAGCTCAAGGCATAAATTCAAAACCTGGCACAAGAAAGGAAGAAGGGAAGGAATGAACGAACAAGTAAATGAAAAAAGTGGGAGAAAAGCTCCTGATTGAAAAGGAATAGAACTATATAAAAGAGCCTAAGAAACATGGGACAGGGTGAAAGGGTCCAGAAACTAAGAACAGGAGGAAAAACGGGGCAGGAACAATATTTACAGATACATTGGCCAAGTATTTTCCAAAACTGAGAGTACTAAGCTACAGATTTAACAACCTGTAGTGACAAGAAACACAGAGGCATGTCATAGTTAATCTGAGGAGGAAAAAAAAAAGTAATCTCTGAACAACTGTTTTTATACCCCCAATTTAGCATTTAGAACTCTCTATTCATTTTGGAAACTGAAAAAGAAAGAAACCATTTAAATATTGGCACATAGGATATTAAAGGTAAATAGCTGAGTTTTCATCTGTGAACACAATGAATGGTAATAATTAGCCAAAATTCCATTCTCCTGAAGGAATGAAAGAGGAGGCACAGTAATAAGTGAAATTTGCACCTTTACTTTTAAAACACTGTAAGCTATCTCCCCACGCCAATTCCAACACCTGCAATCACCTCTACTGCCACCCCCCACCCCGCATCATGTTCAACCACTGAGGATCTTTCCAACCTCCTATGATATATTAAGAGAACTATGGAACACACTGTTTGACTTTGTTAGTTTCTATTTTTTGTTTCTATTTCTGTTTTATACTTATAAAGAAAAGAGGTTTATTTTGGCTCATCATTCTGATTTCAAGGTCAAGGAATACATCTAGTGATGGCTTTCCTTCCCGCCCCCGCATTTTTTTTTAATTGGTGCAGTGTAGCTGTACATAATGATGGGATGTAATGTTACATATTTATATATGTACACCATATAACAATGGAATTTGACCAACATCATTCCCAACCACTTCCTCCCTCCCTCCTCACTTACCATGCCTTGGTCTCATTACTAATTTCCTTTTGATTTTCATGAGATATGCCCCATCGTTCTTTTCCTTTTTCCTCTCTAGTTTCCACATCTGAGAGAAAACATATGACTCTTGACTTTCTAAATTTGACTTATTTTGCTTAACATAATGGTCTCTAGTTTGATCCATTTTCCTACAAATGACAATTTCATTTTTCTCTATGGTAGGAAAAAAAAAAAAAAACCATTGTGTATATACGCCACACTCTCTTTATTCATTCATCTGTTCATGGATACCCAGACTGGTTGCATAGTTTGGCTGTTGTAAAATTGTACTGCTATAAATGGGTATGCATCTCAGCTGGGAGATACAATTGGAGTATTGTGTCAGAAAAAATGAGGAGCTCTGGAAACCTGTAATATAATTACTTTAATTCTTTAGGTACCAAGAGTGGGATATTTGGGTCATATATTGGTTCCACTCCTAGTGTTTTGAGGAATCTCCACATTGATTTCCATGGGGATCGTACTAATTTACAATCCCATTAACAGTGTAAAAGTGTCCCTTTTACTCCACATCCTCTCCAGCATTTATTGTTTGTATTCTTGATGACTGACATTCTGATTCACGTGAGATGAAATCTCGGTGTAGTTTTGATTTGCAT